GAAAAGAAGAAAGAGAGAAGTAGCTCGGCGCGTTTTCCGCGGTAACCCACACGGGGCCCTTTCGGAGACCTGCGGATCAGGAAGGGAGCAATGAGAGTCGGGGCGCTTCCCGAGGCACAGCTGCTATTCGCAGCTGGCAGTGTTTGCCCTCCAGGAGTTGACAAGCACCAACAGCCCAAGGATATTAGCTGTGTTCTTGGGACATATTCTATGCATACTTGTATATATATATATATATGTATGGGTATAGTATCGTTAAGAGTTGCTTGGGGCTCCACCATACGCTTTCCGGGGGGGATGTTTGCGTTCGTTTCCCGAGGCAAACAGGCTGATGCCCCAGGTCGGCCCTGCGTCTTTCCGGGTGGGGGGGGGGGGGATGTTTGCGTTTGTTTCCCAAGCAAAGGGTAAGCACACCCGCTCAAGAGCGCCCGCTCAGCACTGTATTCATGCCAGCCAAATGGTAAGCACACCCGCTCAAGTACACCCGCTCAGCACTGTATCCATGCCAGCCAAATGGTAAGCACACCCGCGCAAGGTACGCATACCAGCTCAACTCAGGACTGTATTCATGCCAGCCAAATGGTAAGCACACCCGGGCAAAGATGGGAGGTTCCAACGTGCAGTTCGTACTCTGTTCAACTCTTAACGATACTACTATACCGATTTTCATAATATATATATATATGAATATTACAAAATGAATAATTTTGATACGTAAAGATGGGCCCCGCCAAAAAGAATGAAATGAAGAACACGACAAAGAACTGCACCATCCCGGACTTCACTGGTGATGATTCGGAGTGCTTTACTTAAACCTTCTGGAAGCCGCTGGCAAAGAACGCAGGCCCTCCATCTCAGCCCACGGGCGCCAGAATCCGATCCCTGTCTTGAAGCCACAGGAACAAATGCAACAACAACAACGGAAGCACGGTGAATCAACCTGGTCTGAGGAGGAAGGCTGGCAGCTCATTCTCAGGCCCGATGTTTTTTTGGGGTTTTGCGGCTCTGGACCGTGCTCATGAAACAGCCCTGCATAGCTGGATAAGAATGAATAGCTAGGTCCTCCAGTAGTGCCCTTTACCTTCTTTTTTGGGAGGCTTCCCGTACCAAAATAAACTGCAGAAAAAGGGCACCCTTCTTCTAACCTCTCTACTAAAAGACCTAGATAGTATGAAACAGGAACACACGGTGAAGTCTGAAAATTCGAAAAACGGTTATGAAGGAGACGGACTCCACCCACATAGGCATGTCTTCAAGCTAAAACATTTTATCAATACAACAACAATAAGACAAAACCGAGCAAGCGGAAACGACAAAGAACAAACATCCACACAAGCACAACAAGTTGGAATTTGAGCTGCTGGAGCAGGCCTTTGTTTGCAGGTTATGGCATCTGATGTGAGTTGAGAGATGGGTTCGTCACCTGCAGGAGCTATTGTTCGTGAGCAGCGCCCTACACGTGGACTCGGAGTTTTGGCCGCAGACGGCGCCGGATGTATGCACTTCCAAGTCGTGGGTCCCTCACCGCCTCACCGGGGCGTCAGGGGCGTCAGGGGCACGGCAAAAGGTCAACAAGAGATCACACTGGCTTCTTCGATTTGGTGAAATGAATGTTTGTCTTGCTTTCCCCTATTGGTTTTAACGGCGATCTATCACTACTGGACATGGTGTTTTTCCTGGGTACTTAAGCAAATAGAGGGCTTAGTTCTGGGCGTGCCTTGGTATTAGGCGGAAGGGTTCCGTCAAAGATTCGTTTTCTTTCCGCTTCCAATTACCACTATTGTAGGTAACCAGGGGAAGCCATTGTGCAAAACCTAGTAAGGATCCCTGGTTACCTATAGTTGTAACTGCAAACAATGGGATTTCATAGAATGGTGAACAAACAACGTATTTTACATCTTGGGTTTAGGGTTGAACCTTGACTCAAGGGAAGGTTGCTTTCGAACGCCTGCGAATCGTCTCACGCCGGGTGTCTCACGACCTGGGCTTGCAAAGGTAAGTATAAAGCTTAAGCCGGACTCAGATTTGCTGGAAATGATGGCTTAGGGAAGGCTCTCTACTTTGAAACGGCCGGGCTTTGCCTGCGCTTGCCTTGTGATGGTCTATGTATTTGTTGCAGCTTCGCCATGTACCTGGTCCAGATTCACCCTTTGGTTTCATATGGGTACAGGCAGTGCTCAATATGCCCCGCGTGCAGGACATCGCGTTTTTTGTTTTGTTTTTTGTCCAGCTTCACAGGTTCCATAACTCATTTGGGCCGCCAGTCACGAGCTAAGGATCTTGCGCGGCACTACTTCTACATGCATACCGTTCTTCCAACGTTCCTGCTGTTCAGTGCCAGCTTCGTTCCCTTAGGCCCGCGGAGGGGGTGAGTTGAGAATCGGAACATGCTTCCAGGGGTACCTTCCATTTCCATTCTGAACCCAGGGATCCGAATCTTTTCAGGAAACCATCCAAAACCCAGGCGAAGCAGCTGGTTTTTGAAAAGAACGATGGTTTAAAAGAATGGGGAATCAACCCCTAGAATGCTCTGTGCACGTCGCCTTTGAGTGGCGCCTTTTTTTCCACTCGCTGCAAGGCGAAGGTGACTGAGCAGAAAACTCGGATGTGGAGTTGCCTCCGAGCGAGCTCCCAAATAGCAGTCAGGCTCTGAAGGTACCTGTCTAGAAGCAGGGTGAATCCTTGAACGCTTTGGTGGAAGTATCAAACGGACAGTACAAATAAATGATAAGTCACAAATCCCGCAGCTTGACTTGTACACTATTCCGAATGAAGGTGTAAAGGGGACGTCAGAGCCCAGCAGAAGGCAAGCAGGGCAAACCTTCCATGATGTAAAACCTAGAGGTAGCCACACTACGTTTGGAAACACTGGGAGTGTCGAGGGTGAGTTCATCCTTTCCGGTTTCGGGACTGGGTTCCGACGTGAGCCAAGCTGCAGGCATTGGCGGCCGGATGCTGTTTCTTGGCGTGGCCCTTTCGGCGGCACATGCTTTAGTCACGTCTTCGGGCTTCAAGTGTTGGGATGCCCAGGGTACATCTGCTCGTTGTTTTTTGTTGTTTATGGCGAACCTGGGCGTAAAACCAGCTCACCATGGCTATACTTGGCTTTGGGCGGATCTTGGTGCAATATTCGTGTTTTTGTTGCATTTGTCCTGTCGAAGGTTTAATTTGCTCAATACCCTCATGGAAAAAGTACTCTCCTTGCAATTCTTTGACCTTTTCCTTCTTGCTTGTGGACATGCCAGGATCCAGACACACACAAGTCCGGGACATCCACATGGCAACATCTCGGGTGAGTTTGAATTATGTGATGGCAGCTAGCGACAAGGAGGAAATATCGGTGGCACTTCTGTCAATCTTTGCCTCACTTGCCCAAAGCGAACCGACCTTTTAATCTTTTGATTTCCGGCATTCCGTTCATTGTAGTCATGGCCAAAAAGGCTATGGGCTTTGATTTCCAGGTTCTTCATGACCTTCTGCTATTCCCCACGGTCCCTCAGACCAGCCTTTCTTTGGCTGAATGCCCCCTCTGCTTCACGGTGGAGCATGTGGTTTGGCTTGTGTCGCGATTGGGCCGGAACGGGCGTGTATTTGACGTTCCTGTTTGGCAAAGCGAAGGTCCCATTCCCCATTTCTGGATGTTTCAGTAGGAACATGAAAGGAAACCATGCATTTTGGACCATTTTTTCTAACAACACAGCTGGCATCGAGTTTCGCATTGGTTCGCCATTGCACCCGGTTTGCGCTAAGGCCTGCCCAGTGCATTTGATCGGATGGTCGGCCATGCATGGCAGTCCTGCCGCACTTTGCTGGGGGCTGCTACAATGCGCAGGCTTGTTTGGCAGCACAAAAAGGTCCCAAATATTTAAACTGTTAATTGACCCGCCGATTGACCTCAGAGGGCCACAAACAATGGAGTCGTCGCATGGGTGGGTGTGTCGGATTTTCTCGGCGGCAAGAAGGCTGTTCCGCTTCGCTGAAGCTCGGCCACCATTGGGGAAATAGTTCATAGGCTTCTCAGAAGCTCTGAGCCTTTCTTATTACAGGCAGTTTCGGCATCAGAAGCGTTTCGAAGCGCTTCGCAGAAGGGTTGTTTCACGCTTCTCTTCCAAGCAGACGCCCACCGCCAACTGCCGAAGTTCCTTGTGAGGTGCAGTTTGGGTGAAAGCTTCCTTCGAACCGACGTATCCTAGCCACATGTGTACAGTGTTGGTCAGGTTCTTTTCTAGCGAGCTCATCTGAGCTCACGGTTGCATTAGAGTCTGTCAAGAAATGCGCTGCGATGAGATGACTGCAACGAGTCGTAACATGCACGAGCCTTTGGGCGAACCAGTCCCCAGTCTTGGAGGAAAGGAGGAAGGGGAAGAAGTGAAAGGGAGCAAGAAACAGAGCGATAAATATTTATTTATTTTTGTTGGGGGGTCAAAGAGGCACGGACAGGCGGCATGTCTTGAGTTCGACAATACGGCACACTGTGAGGTGGGGTGGTGGTGCATTTGCTGGTGGAAGACGCGGAGCGTGAGCATCTCGCCAGATCTCGCCCAAACGTACGCCAGTCCGTTTGGGACGGGCCTGGGGCCGTCGCAAAGGAAGGTGAAGCCAGGCGGGAGCAACCTTAGCCTCAATGGTACAAATCGCTCGGAAGAGCAAATATGGGAGTGTCAGTTTTTGGGACCCCCACAAATTGTGGTCTTCGTGTTGGTTTCCGTTGAAACCAACCAGAAACGGGGCACCCTCAAAAAAAGATGCACCCATATCCTTGCCCCCCTCCCTCCCCCCCATAAGAAACCAACACATTCCGAACTGGGTGCTTGGACCCTGGTGCGATCCGCCTTGCAGCGGCCTCTATGGCATGGCTTTGAAGCTTCCCCAGAGTTAGTTCCCCTTTTTAATGTTTGCTTTGTTGCGGTCCCCTTTGTTTTCCTCTAACCAGACAAAAATATAGTTTGTTGCTGGGGTCCTAATTCCAGCCAAGGAAGAAGCTTGGGCCAGTCGGGACAATGGCTAGTACCCTCCCAAATAGAACATCTGTGGGAAGCGGCTTCAGCGACTTCCCGTCAGGTGCCATGTTAAATGCTTTGTCCATAGAGCACATCGATGTCTTCATTGCGCCAGTGGCCGATTCGCCCATAAGGCGCACGCGCTCAATCCTTTCCTCCTTTGCTGGGCATGATGTTCAATTGGTTTGCTTGACACCAACTGTTGATGGGATTTATCGGGGTTTATGTACGCCAACTTTTTGTGAGAGTGTTCCAGTGCTGGGCCCATTCAAAGGTATAAACTTGCTGGTGCTCAGCAGGGAGTGAGGGAATGACCCCAAACTAACCATCATATCATCCCACTGGTGGTTTCCTTCAAGGGGACCCCTGGGTTCCACACCAGCACGAAAAGGGTGCCGTTGCTTTTGGAGGGCGAGTTGAACGGGAAACAGGGGAACCAAAGAAGCACCACCCATTTTGAGGCTAATGCTGACCCCATATTACTCAACCCCGGTTTAGTCTAGGGGAGTGTCCGATTTTGGTTTTCGTGGGGATTCAGACCACCCCCAACAATGTCCCTGGTTTAGTGGGGATTCATGCCACTGTTTGAGGGGAACACCTCCATATTCATAAACAGGGGTTGACTACTATGGGGTCAACATTACTGCTCAGCTATATATATATATATGTATGTATATATATATATATATGTAGATATCTATATATATAACCATCCATATGTGTATATGTGCATATATATATATATATATGTATCCATATATTTCAGACCAAGCCACGCAGTCTGCACTCGCCGCATGCCCAGCGGCGAGCCAAAGCCTTTTCTGGGTCCAAGGAGCTTCGAGGTGCTCAGCCGGCTGGCGTCGGAGCAGCAGTACCTGGAAGCCATGCTGTGCTCGGTGCAAGGCTTCACGATGTCAGTGGCTATGTTTTTCGGGGGGGGGATGGGGGGGGGGTGTGGGGATGGGGTGGGGTGGGGTGGGCATTTCATAAACGCGACCACTTTTCGGACGCAGTAAGATGAAGGGGGGGGAGGGGTTGGTGGGGGATGAGGGGGGGGTGGTTGGGGGATGGGGGTGGGGATGCTTGGGGAGGGGTGGGGGGTTGGGGGTGGGGTTGGGGTGGCGGTTGGTGGGGGCTGGGGCTGTGTTGCTTGGGATGGATTGTTGAGGTGAGTGCGGGGTACGAGGTTTCCCTGGTGCGCAGCACAAGGCGTTGTGGATTTCAGAGCTCCAGTGGATAGGGAATATGCCCTGGCAGGAATGCTGTCCAACCTCTTTGCCTCTTGGCTCCAAAGGAATGGGTCGACCTAGTGCAAAGCCAGCATTTGGCATAGCATTTTGACAGTTTGCCTTGTGATGCGAGTGTTGTTGCTCAGGATGCTTCCTGCATTTGCTGCTCGGCCAGGGTAAGATTCGGGCACGGGCGGCTGCTGTCCATGCGGTGCTGTCCATGCAGCATGGACCACATCAATCATGGCTAGCTATTTCAACCATGACCATTTGAAATGCCAGTGTCAGCCTTGATGCCGCCTTGATGCCTTGCTGCCCTGCTGGTATGGGTGTAAATCCGGCAATCAGGTTTGATTGTATTGAGGCAGGGGAGGATGGTGCTTGCCCGCTTCCCCACATTTTCCATCTCGCGGATCATCTCGCGTTCAGTCAAGGATTCCTAAGCCTGCGTTGCCCCTTCTGCAACCGAACCGATTTGCAAAAGGAGCTTTCCCGTAAAGATTCTGTGGGTTTGGTTTGCATTATGTTTGTCTTCTCATTTTCAGGAGAGCTATGCCTGGTTCGACAAGTTTCCTGCCTGTGTGTTGACAAAATCCTGCACCGGTTGGTGGCTTATCCCATCATAAGGGTTCATCCATTTTCTCCCTGAGTTCCTGGACTTCAAACTTTTGGGTCGCCGTTTCAGTGATAAACAAGAGCAGGAGGCGACATTTTTTTTCTGGCCAATCCGCTCGTGAGGTGAGTCCATGTTAAGTGGTACAGGGGTTTTGGTCCCAAAAGGCATCGGGATCTCCCAAGCAGGTCTCCCTCTGAGGCAACGAGCAGGGAGAGGTGCGCTGCTGGCAGAGTCCGCAGAAGGACGAGGCCGCAAATTTCTGGCTTCGGGGAGGCTCATGGCGATTCACTTCAAAGCATGTGTTCTTTGGTGCCTTTTGCCAAGGGATGTTAGGACTTTAGCTGTTTGCCAACTAATGGGTTTTCCATTGAACCACTAAAAGTTAAACTTTTTAGCAGGGGAGCAGAAAGCAACCGAGTGTTCCTGGGAGTTGTTTTTCGGGTTTCGTCTAGAATTAGACGAGTTCCTCTGGTTTAGATGGGTTTGGTTGGATTTACCAGGGCCATGTTTCCTGAAAGGTTACCTACTGATGGACGAAGTCCATTTCGCACCGCTTTGGCTAAAGAATCTTCAGAGTTGGAACCACGAAAGTGAGGGGACATGAAACCCACCGAATTCTGATGACCATTCGGCTAGCAGGGGTTCCTATGGCACTGGGTTGTGGGGAGCTTGTTTTTTCTTCAGCAACACGGCAATCCGAAGGATGACCTCAATGCAACCCTTCACAAGGCCTGGCTCAATGCATTCCTCTTCAGCACAAGCATTGATTCCTGTTTCTTTAAGGGCCAGTGCGTTACAGTCTCATGATGCATCATGCCTAGTGTGACTTTTTAGTATTCTCACCCAGACCAAGGCCAGGCAGAATGCTTAACCGCCAGAAGATACTTTTTATCTAGATATTATATATATATATACATATGCTCATCCAACGTGGGGATCAAGACCCCGGCCCTTTCTCAGATAACTTTCACTTAGTGCCTTGTCGCTCAACAGTCACTCCCACTCCTGTTCCTTCCTTTGTGCTTAAGAATGCTCTCCTTCCACGCTCATGGAAGACATGCTAAGAAAATAATCAATCTGTAGAGGGAAATGGTCCTGACCCGGATTTTCAGAACCATGCTTTCCACCACTTGACTTTCATTCGTCCCATTGGTTTGGCTTGGTGTGGAGGTTAGGGGTCCTCAAGAACCAGGGGCTCAAATCCAAAAAAAAACCACCCAAAGCTTGCTGGTGCTCAGGGAATGACCTGCCAGGGGTTGGGAATTCACTGGAAGGGGATTCCCTTAAAGGAAACCACAGGTGGGATGGTTTTTATAAGGGTCATTTTTCTCTTTCCCTGCCTATCAAACCAGCAAGAAAAGCCACTGCAGAAAGAGTTGCTGGGTCAGTCCTTAAAGGAAACCGTGGAGGATAACCATGGAGGATGGTTTTTGACCGGCAAAACCCACAAAGAGGGAAGCTGATGTCTGGCACCCAAGCAGCTGGGGATTTTATGTGCCAGGCTGCCGCCTCTTTGATGAGCTCCTGCAACCTCGTGGATTTGACGACTGGTCCCCACGACGCAGCGCAGCCTGTCGGAAGATGTGGAAGGGTGAGCTTGGTGAATAACAAGGACCTTTGAGCCCTCTGCGGACTTTCAAGGAGTCGACCCTCAAAAGCTCGCTACTTTTGCTATTTCCATCTCGCTCGCGGACTGCGGACTTTCGCGTGGTGGAACTCAATAAACTCGCTGCTTTGTTATGATGGCAATTTAGTCGACTATTAAATGGGGAACCCTCTTGTCATTGCGTGATTAGTTTTGCGACCTCCGCCTTCTCATGGACGCATATTCCTTCTTCCTTCCTGTGCGCGACTTTCTCACGGCCGCGTGCGAGGCTACCATCACTTCGCACACATCAACAGGTAAACGAGCAATTCCATCCATGAAGATACCTTAGGGGATTTGTCTCGATGCTTTGCGCGAACGATGATTTGCGCATAGCCCATGAACTCACCTGCCGAATGGACTAGCCCCGAAAATGGATGGCACTCAAGCAGATGACCGATGCCCAACCACTGACGCAAGCGCTTCGTCAGTGAGTAGGATGTTTTGGAGCCCTGGGTTTGTTTCTCTGAACCAGCAAAAAGGGAACTTTTTGTGGGAAATGTCCTTGTGTCTGGGCTCACTTCCTGAGTTCCTTAGTATTTGTTTTGGGTTTGGTTGCAATTTTGGTGGTAAACCAAAAGTGTGACCGGGTGTTTGGCAAAATGTCCTGCATAATTTCCCCGGAATGAGGCAGCTGATCGGCTTTCTGCAGCGGATGAACTCCAAAGCCGCGAGCACCACGGAGAGGGCTGCGGTTTGGCGGGGTGCGGTGTTTTACGGCGCAGCCATCCCAACATGAAGGACTTTGCAGTCTTTTATTTACTCAAATGAGTTGTTTTTGTTCCTAATTTTCCCCTTTGGGTGTTACAGGGAATCTATCACTACTGGACATATATTTATTCGTTCCAGGGGCTAAGCAAATGGACGTAGTAAAGTTTGAATCATCTAGACATCCAGGCGAAACACCGGGCAATAGCTCGTGCCACTTAGCCGTCAAAGCAATTTTGCGAGCAAACCAGAGATTTAGTCCGTGCATGAGTTTCAGCTTTTTGTGTTTTCCGGGCGTTGATCCAGGCGCAAACGTGGATCTAACACGCGCCGAAAACGAGCCGGACGCGCGCGCCACCCAAAGACATCAAGACTCGCTTGGTCTCTCAGCTGGAGACGGAAGCACATCTCTTCTCATGTAAAAGTTATAGTTCTTCCCAGATGGATAATGTGAGCGTGAAGTTTTCTCGAGCTTGCTGATATTAGCGTGAACCACAGCCAAAAGTGAGACGTTTCCCACTTCCCAGGACGCTCTCTCACCTGTGGTGGTGGTGGTGGTGGTGGTGGTGGTGGTGGTGGTGGTGGGGGTGGCGGTGGCGGTGGCGGTGGCGGTGGTGGGATGGCATTGTAGTATCCTTCATGGGCCAGGCCCCCTTTTTGTTTTGTGCCCTTAGCAGGGGCTAACACCAGGGATCGGTAGACGGGACGTCGTGAATGTCCCAAGCCAAAATTGGCAATTCGTTTAGTTCCCAGTTTGTTCAAGGGCCAGGTTGTTAAAGGGTGGGGTGGGTAACCTTCCCCCACAGAAACAAATTGTTCAAGGGTGGATTGGGTGGGAAGCTATCATTGCTGCTGAAGCAAATGGAAGTCTAGGAAAAAGGGCTGTGAAGCAAAATGGGTATGGGTCAAAATTAAACCACCAGGGGACCGCAGATGTTAGTCCCTGTTTTTATTTACCAGGGTTGATTTTGGATACCTTTTTTTTGGCCCACACCCAAATGAGCCGCTCCAGTGTCCGGGCCAGGACTTGATGGAGACGCTCAACCTGAAGCAGGTGAAGACCAACCTCGAGGCGCTTCTTCTGCGGGTTTTTCAGGAGCACCGTAGGCACCGTAGGCACCGTAGGCTCCAAGGTGGTTTGTTCTTCCTTGTGCCTAGCAAGGTGGCAAAATTTGTTTTTGGTTTTGGCTTTTGGTGTTTTTTTTTGGCAAACCTGTAGCATGTCCTATTGGTTTCTATGCAAAAAGGGCTATGGCTTGGTAATCAGGGGATACGCATCTTTTTCAATCTGAAAGCACGACGCAGCGTACCTACTAGTAGCTGGAATCCACTGTGCTCAGAGTGGGGTGTGTGGTTCCTCACGCCCAGGTTCAGCTGAGTGGCATCAAAGTGCCCACACGGCGTGCAGTGGACGAAGCACGTATGCTGGTCGGCCTGCGGCTCGACTTACTCGACTTTCATGGCTTGTTGCTTGCATTCATTTCGGCTCTCGATGTTGAAAAGTATTGATTGCATTCATGCTTGCTTGCTTGCTTGCTTGCTTGCTTGCTTGCTTGCTTGCTTGCTTGCTTGCTTGCTTGCTTGCTGGCTTGCTTGCTTGCTTGCTTGCTTGCTTGCTTGCTTGCTTAATTACTGCTTTGCAAAATGTGTTGCGTGTTGCTTCCTACTTGACGGCTTGCTTGTTTGGACCACTGGCTCTTTTTGAGGGAATGCTCGCTTGCTTGCATGGACGCTTGCTTGCCGGGGGCACTTGCTTGCTTGGAACGCTCGTTTGCTCGAAGCGCTTGCTTGCTTAGAATGGTTGCTTGCTTGGCCAGCCAGCTTGCCTCAACCTCTCGCTTGCGCGGAATGCTTTCCTGAACTCTTTGGTTTCCATAAGCTATATGCTTGCTTCGCTTTGCTTTGCCTGCTTTGCCTGCTCGCTTTGCCTGCTTTGCCTGCTTGCTTTGCTGGCTGGCCTGGCTTGCTTGGCTAGCTTGGCCTGCCTGCCTGCCTGCCTGCCTGCCGTCCTGTCTGCCTGCCTGCCTGCCTGCCTGTTTGCCTGCCTGCCTGCCTGCCTGCCTGCTTGCCTGCTTGCTTGCTTGCTTGCTTGCTTGCTTGCTTGCTTGCTTGCTTGCTTGCTGCTTGCTGATTTCTTGGTTTGCCTGCTTTGCATTGATGGCGCTGGGCTTTTGCTTGCCTTTGCTTGAGTGTGTTGTTTGTTGATTGTGTGCTGAAGATGCTTCGGTATGGCAAGCGGAGTTCCCCAACCCATCGATGCTCACAGCTGCCGAACAAGGCAAAGGCCATGATTGTTTCCAATCTTTCCCAGTGCTTCCAGTTACCACTAAAGCCTATAGACTATAGGCGGTAACCCTTAGGTATGGCTTCCTCTAGGTTTTACATCACGGGGAAACCCCTCGTTGCCTGTGGCGAAACGCCGGAAGGAAGCACTGGGTTGTATGGAATGCGCATCCGATTCCGAGTTGCGCCGAAGCCGAAGCCAAGGAAGCTGGTGAAGTCTGAGACACTCGGGTGCCTTGGTCTTGGGGGGATGGATATGGCTGCGTCAGCTTTGCGGTTCCAGCTTCCGGGTTCGTGTGGGGGCAAGAGCAATCAACAAACACATGAAAGCCAAACAGCAACACAAAACTTAAAGCACAAATCATTGCCATTTATGTCAGTTTATGTCAGCGTGCAGGTATGTTACTGATTTTGGCAGTCAGTTGCCGAGCTGTTACCGAAAACCTGGGTGCCTGTGCCCGCCGCGTGAGTGAGTAGACAAAGGAGCAGACTTTGAGTTTGGCTTGAAGCTTTTAACTTGGCAAGATCGGATTCGGCGTTGCGATTTCCGAATGTCAATCCAATGTGGATGTTTCAGATCCGCCTTTCTGGTTTCATCAGAGTTTCCTCCAGGACACTGGCATAACCCCGCCGTATCAATTGCGGTTGTTTGGCGGCTTCGGTAGCTGCCTTCACGTGACATGCGGTTTCAGGTTTGATCGCAAGGCTGCGGTCGCGGAGACCCCGACCACCTGGACTCATCCCAAAGCCGCATCGTAGATATTTTCAGGCCATGCAAGTAACAGACATCGCATGGTCATGGATGGCATGGCATGTTAGAGGTAGACTGAGGATACATTTTACGTTCTACCAGTGACTCCATGCAAAGCAAACAATAACATATACATTCTACAACTGGGATGTTCCCCGATCAGTTTGCCTGCCGTTTTTTCTTGGACCCGACATTGAGCCAAACGCTCTCAGGAGAAGCGGCTCCAAGGGCCGCGGGGACTCACCCTCTAAGAGGCTGGATGGGGTTTGCTGTTTCGAGCTGGGAAATGAAAGAGCGACCTCGCCATGCTCGAGACCTTTCTGATGATGGTTCCAATTTTGGAGCTCGCTTATTTAGGTTGGCCAAGGTTTATGACAAAGATCTATCATTGTTTGGTATATGTTATTGATTTCCTGGATTTTGAAGACACGGCAAATTCTGATGTCAAATCGCTGGATAACATGTGAGCAGAAGGGTGTCAAGTTGACATGCGAAAGCGCATGACATATGAGTTTCAATGGTGGTTTCTTCTGCGGGTGCTGCGGGGATCATATCCATGGCCCGTCAAGACTAGATTTGGTGGCAGAAAGCTCACCCATGTGGTGCTCTTACGGAAGGCCAGCGACCTGTTCGCTGCTGTGGTAACACGTGCTGAAAAGCACAGTTTCCCGCGCGCGCGCGCGCGTGCTGCAAGAGTTTCCCTTTCTATATGTTTTTGCTTTTTTGGGTTCCCGTTGTTTTCCACTAACCAGGCAAACAAATGCTGGGGTCCTAATTCCAGCCAAGACTTCTGTACACAACAAGCTGGCAGTTTCTCCGTCCGATGCCAGGAAGCCCGCGGTCCATGGAGAGAGCAGCTGCTCGACTGCACCTGTGAACAGAAAGGTGCCGGGGACGGGACATCCCAAAACTTGATCAGGGTGTTCGATCAAAGATTTCTTTGTTTTTTTTCTGCTGGTTGGAGAGGCAGGGAAATGTGCCTCCAGGCAAGCCACTATAGTAACCATGGGTTTCCCCATGATGTAAACCTAGAGATCAGGATCTAGCTACTATAGTGGCCTGCCTGGAAGCATTGGGAGTGTATTGCACAAAGTTTGACTCAAGCTTTCGGTGAAGCTGGCTTCATTGACTTCGGGCCAGCCTGCCCAAATAATGTTTAGGGCCTGCCTTTGCAGAGATGCACGGCTGTCATGGCAATTTTATCATATTTTCATGCACGCCCGTGACTTCCATGGGAATTTGCCAGCTAGACTTTCTGGCGAAATGGGGTGCCGTTCATGATCTTTCATGCATGAGCAGAACGGGTTTGCGACGTTGCGTGCTGAGATGTTTGTCTACCAATAAATGCGGGTGATCGACTGTTAGTTTGTCTATTGTTGGCATCCTTGAATGAACGATGTGTTGGTTATTGCCACTATCGCTTGTGGTGCCGGGGCCAGCATTGAATTAATCACCTCACCCTAGACAACTGTGAGTGGTCCCGAGGTTAGGGGGTGCCTACCCTTTTGGCTTCCAGAGGAACTGGGTTGCACCCCATCCCCAAACCACCAATCCAAACACGAATCCAAACCACCAATAGGGCTCAGGTGAGATCAGCGTCAAGCGTCCCAAGCCGATCCAGTTGGCTTATGTTGGCTTGCAGATTGGCATGACATCCACGTAGGACGCTGCTGGCCTTGAGGGTTTGTCTCAAGAGAGCAATGCGGCTAGTCCTTGCAGAAAGGTTCAGCTGTGCAAGGTTAGGCCGGGCGGCAAAACCATTTTCCGACCTGCTTCGGACCAACTTTCATTTTCTGACAGCACTCCACAGCACCCCGAAACAGGTATACCTCTTTCCGACACAGGCGTGACTCGCCACAGCAGCGGCAGCCCAGTGATCCCATGCCTGCCAAATGATAAGCGCACCAAAAGGAGAATTACCAAAAGGGCAAACATCAACAGGAGAAAAGCCAAGGGGATCCCCCCCCCTCCAAAGGGAAACCAACAGACGGTGGAAATATCTTCGCATGCCAAGGACCAGCTGAAGCAAGGACTGAGGCAGGGGCCGGCAGGTTTGTCAGAAGAAGGGTACCCTCCCTCCCACCTGCTGACAGACCGCACCTGTGGGAGGGTACCTGGAAAATCAATTTCCTCTTGGAGGGGTCCCCTTTCAGCTACCATGTTCGTGGGGGAGAGGGATACCTCAAAGCACACCTAGGGGCAGGGTTGGCCCCTTTCGCAACTTGAGGTTTGATTGGCTACCGGGACCGCTTTGGTTGACTCGGGATGTATGCACCCGTGCCTTCGAGTAAGCCCTTCAAGCATAGATTGGACAGGGTGGTTGGCGTTCAAGGTTTTTACATCCAAGACAGAATCTACAATTTCAATCCATGTGCAATCCAACTTGGATTGAAGATGCAGGGATTGTTCGGGCATTGCATGGGTTGACCGAAGGCACGGCATTCGCTGCGCAGTCCTGGCAGCGGGGCCCACCTGTCATAAGAACCATCCGCGCATACTTGACTCATTCGGTGGATTGGCCGCAACGGCCAAATGGAGTTCAACTGAGCTCAATTCGCTGTGTCCGAGTATGGTAAATGCAGATATGCAGATGGCCCCCTCCCTTTTGGACCCTGCTTGCCGCCCGTTGTTTGGCGTCGCGTTTCTTCTGCTTATATTGGGGGGGGGCTTTGCTTTTGAACTTTGATTCCACAGCCTGCATGGCCTGCAAAAAGGTTCCCTTTTTGACGGATGTCACGCTGCAGCCCTTTTCTTGTTGCCTCAGCGACCCTTTGGGCTGCTCGGTCGAACGGACCGCCGCGACCCCTTGGGCTGCCTGGTCGTTGTCGTTGAAAACCAGGGGCCGCCGCAGATGAACCGTCTGATGACGGGGAACTTGGCGGACGATGAGGCGCCCAGGCGCCTGGGCTGAGGTCTTGGATTCGCCTGGTGGGAGCTCCACCTCCCGAGGTTTCGCCAGGTAACCAGAGCTTTCCCCAGAACCTGGAGCTACACCGAAGGGCAACCTATTTGGGCTGTTCAAAGGCAATCCTGAATCCTTACCTTTTGTTATGCAAGGGGGCCCCGATGTAGTGGCTTTCCAGTAGGGATAGTGGATTGGGATTGGCCAACACTCCATTTTGAACAGCCCAGCCTATAGAGGTAATAACTGGAAGTGCTGGGGTGAAGAGCTTGTTTCCTTTGAACAGAAGGAATTTGTACAGGAACCGGTCCCGTTTTGTGAGGAATATGGTTATGCAGGAACCGGGGAACCGCTTGCCGTGCAGGTTGCTTCTGTTTGTGGCAGGGTGGAGTGCCTTAGCTTTTGGTAGGTCCAGCGGTATCATGGGTAAATCGTATCACAGGGTTCCAACTGATGTTCAAGGTCTTCGTTGCTTTTCAGGCACCGGCGAAGCGTTGGATGGTTATGTTTGGTTGATCCTTTTAGACGGGGCCAGCTGGATCGGGTGGGCAGATGCCAACCGAGTTGGGGAATGTTGCCCGTATGGCTTGTGGCAACGGATCTTTGAGCGTTACCTCTTTGGTTGAAACAGGTCGGACTTTCCATACCGACAAACAGTGTTCCACTTTTTTTAAGAAAGCATAAACCCCCCCCTCCCTTACCCCCCCCCCCCCCTTGAGACATGCTATAGCACTGCTATTGGAGTGCTATAACACTGTTAAAGCATTTGGCTCCCAAAGGGTTCCCCACTGACTGGCGGCGCGACAAGCCCTGAAAAATGACACCCACCACTACGCTCATGCTTGTCCTCCTCGCACCCCTTCCTTCCCCGTCCCCTGCCCTTCCCGTCCGCTCCCCCGAAGCTTCAGAAGTCCGTAAGTCTTCCGCAAGGCTTCCGCAAGGCTTCCGGAAGCTTCCGGAAGCTTCCGGAAGCCTTGCGGAAGCTTCCGGAAGCCTTGGGGAAGCTTCCGGAAGCTTCGGGAAAAAGGGGGGGGAGGGGGGGACCACCCTTGTTTCAATCTCCCCCCCCCTTTTTCCCGAAGCTTCCCTAAGGCTTCCGGAAGCTTCGCAAGGCTTCCGGAAGCTTCCCCAAGGCTTTCGGGAAGCTTCCCACCTATTTGGCCCAAAGCAGGGGGGGGGTAAAGGGGGGGGGGGGTTGCGGCTTCTTAATTTTTGCAGAGGGGCCCCCGCAACCAAGAACACAGTGTTGGCCGGTTTCCCGTCCTTGAATTCCCCGAAAACTTGAGCCATAAGGAGCCCCAGAGAGGAGTCTGATGTTGAAAGGGGATTCCCAGTTTGAGTGCGTGTCTCCTGGTTTAGAGAGGGTCGTTTGGGACACAATCCAGTTGGATGGCGGGTTTTCTTCCCTATGTTTCTCTCAAAGTGGAAGGGCAATTTGTGCAGGGCTCAAAATTTGCGGTTGCAGGTGGCTATTTTATTACTTGCTGTTCTGCTTGCTGCGTGCCATTTTCGGGTTGGGGAGGTTGAAGGAGCCATTTGTCTGGCCAGATATTTGCAAAGCATGCTTGACTCGCCCAGACTTGCGCCGAGGCAACGGTCCAAGGGCCCAGGAGCCGCGGCTCGATTTCGCTTTCGGGCGGGTTTGGGCAGCTGGAGAGGGCGGGCTCAATCGGAGGGATCCGGGGGGTCCGAGGCTGGGGATCTCACCTGGGCCTGGGCTTAGTTTGGTTTGCTTTTGGTGGGTTTAAGGTGGAACTGGACATTTCGGGCCATGATAAGTGTTTGTTGAACCTCCCCGGCTCGATGGATCCAGGGCGAAGATCCTGGCTTTGCTTCCACATGAGTTGTCGACCCTGTTGGAGATTTATTTGTCCCTGGAAGTGAGCTATTTCGGCTGAGGGAATTTGCCATGCTTGAGCTGGCAGGTGTTCTGCTCCGAGATATCGGACAGAAACGACAGCTTGCTTGAGGCTTCCAACCTTGGGCTTGTCATTTAAGTACTTTACTACTTGATCAGCGACGGCTTGCTGATCGGGGTTTTCCTGGTTAATTCGTGGTTGGTAAGTTTGGTTGTAGCCCATGTGGGCCATGAGCATTTACTCAGCATGAGGGCGGCCCTATGGCGAGCCCTTGGCGGCCCAGACTGAAGCTGGCCCCCAATCGCAACGCGCTTTGCCAACAAGAAAACTTCAATGACTTCGTGTTTGGGATGTTCAGCGTTGCTTGTGATGCCACTGACGCCAGCATTGCACCTCACGTCCTTGTTGCTTGACCACATCGGTCCATCAACCCCCCCCCACTTGTGCGCGGCCTCTGCCGCCAGTCTCGGCGACAGGAGCACCCAGGGAGCCAGCGGAGGGTGTGCTCAAGGCCTTTGCGAAGTGGGAGAGTTGGAAGTCACGAACTCTGGGCTTTAGCCAGCTGAAGTCGTTAAGTCAATGCTTGCGTCGGTAGCAAGCCAATACGGTCAAAAGGCAAGCGGTCGAAGGTGTTGAATCTTCAAACAGTGTCCGGTGCTCGTTTTCTATGCTTTATTCGGCACTCCTTTCGTCCCGCTGGTTCTCCCGGCGATGTTCTTTCCGTTCATTTGCACGCCCTTTTGCTCCCCTTTAAACCTACACATCCCTTATGCATTTCGGTTCTTGATGCTCTCTGGTGTCCCTTGCGCGCTGCGTGAAGGCCTGTCCCGTTTCAGGCACAGGCAGGAATTGATTTATCCCAGTGGATCCCAGTTACCCTTAACCAGCAATCCTTTGCTATGCAGGTAAACGGATCCACGTGAAACAAAGGCATAGTTCAAAGTTGTCATGGTTCCAGGCAGCAGGCGCAACCGGTTCTACCTTTGTCCAAGGCGATGCGACCTATAAAACAAAAGGTTTCCCAACAGGTCAACCTCTTGGTTCTTGGTTCTTGTATTTCAAGATCCCGATCCAGGCCAAGTGAGGCAGCTTAGCCTGTTTGGCCATCGCACCTGCTTGTCCCTGCCAGCGCAAGTGCACCGACACGGGTGGCCTTGCTGATGATGAAGGACGCGCCCAAAGGACCTCGCCTGCTCCGAGATGGCTTCTTTTTCCCAGTGCTTCCCGGCAAGCCATAGGTAACCCTTCGGTATGGATCTGGGCTTCATGGGGAAACCCCTGGTTCCCTACTTTTGTGGGAACAGGAAGCACAGGGGTTCGGTTTGACAACATAGTGATTCTGGTATGGGTTGGGTTGCGGTCTAATTAACGGCTTTCGTGAGACGTGATGTGGTGTGTGTGTGTGTGTGTTATGTCCTGCGTGTGTATTGTGCTGCCTCGATAGGCCAAACACGGTGCCGTGAAGTTTCCAGGATGCAAGCCCTGCCCCCGTTGAGCTCGCTGAGCCCGGGGTAGTCTTACACTCTCAGGGTGCTCAACCGACCTCTGCACCTTTTGGTCTTCATGTTTTGGTCCATGGTCAATGCCCCAAAAGGTGAACCTATTTCCAGGTCCTTTGGGCAATTGAGAAAAGAGTCGAATGACTGCCGCGGCACGTTTGCAGGACTCCGCAACGAGCAGGCCGCGGACGCGGCTTCGGGAGACATGCCGCACTTTCAGCATGACATAGGGTGGAGGACGAAATCTACTTCGCAGCAGCTGAGATGGATGAACCACTTTTGAATTGTGCGCTAAACATGGGCAAACCACTTACTAGGTGGTGCAGGATTTTGTCCATCCACAGTATCGTAACTTCTTCTTGCAACTTGGGTTTGTCCGGTTCCAAAACCCTGCTTGGGATGCGGACCACGAATTGACAGTGATGTTTTTGCTGGCCTGCACTTCCTGGGCAGTTTTGACAGAAACACGAGTTTCAGCGGGCCAAAAAGCAGTCCGCCCAAGGGGTCATTTTGAGGTGAGCAGGTGGGTCATTTGAAAGGTTTGCGAATGCTTTATCTTGCAGGGCTCCTTAAAAGATGTATTTCGCCCATTTGAAACACGGCTTTTTCCACCAAAATAAAGGGACACCACCATTTACAAGTTGCAATGTTCAGGTGTATAATGTTTGGATCCCTGTCTTGCAGGTAGTGTTTTTACCTTTCCATGGAGGACCTCCTCTCAACAAACGGAAGAGCTTCTGACTGTCTTTTCCAGTTACCAAAGGTGGCCTGCATGTTTGTTTCACGTCTTGTTTGCACCTTTTTGAGCTCAACGGGAGGAACCCAACGGAACCCAACGGCTGAGTTTTGTGAGACGGTTTGAGTCGAAACGGGGACGTTGCAACGGAGGGACCATGGAGTTGGAGAGCTTCGTTCATCCCCATCAATAAATGCAGCCTATGAATGAATATCGTCTCAAGGATCCCCAATAGTACTTATAGAATGGAGAACCAGAACCTAGTCCCATTCTCACCAAGGGGACCCCAGGTCGCTGTTAGCCCCATCGGGATTGGGGCTTTGAATGAGGGTTTGGGGGGCCCTTGGCAGCCATAGGACTTACTGCGCTGCCCCGATACCAACCAGAATTGCCAAGGTCCTGCTTGGCAGGTGCAGCGAGGGATGCTTGGGCCCGTTTCAAGGGACGAGTAATGTGCTTTTCGGTGGGAGCCCATTTGACCCCTAGCTACCCCATTTATAGCTTATAGCTATTGTTGGACGTTTTTTTTTTTGTGTGTTTTTTCCGTTTTAGTGGGGGGCCGCTTAAAAACAGTCAGTTGTTTGCCAAGCCATACCAAGGGTTGGAAAGCTAAGTATCGTTTGGCCCTCAGCGAATATTTAGCTTCTGGGGGAGCCATTTGACCCTAAATTATCCCATTAAAGCACATCGTATCGTTGACTCCAAATGACCCTATGAATTAGCCTATGAATAATTCGATTATCCTAAGGACTCCAGGGACAAAATCCTGCACCACTTTGAACCCATGGTTGAAACCATAACGTTTGTTGGTACTTGCGACATGGAGTTCGTCCGTCCACAGTGGGCGGTGGAAGCGGTTCGAGAGGCCGGGGCCTGTCCTCGCGGCTGCAGCAGCGCGCCAAAGTCGGCGGCCTGAACGTGAAGGTCGCGCCCCGGCGTAGCCCCTGAGCCCCCCAAATTCCCCAGGCGCAAGCTTCCCATTTAGCTGAAATGAAGACTTCTCCCCTGTTGGTTCTACAGGGAATCGATTTCACTACTGGAAATGTGTTGTGTGTGTTTGTTTTGTTTCTGGGGGACTTGTCTTGGTGGCTCCCAGCGATGCCTGTAGCTTTTTAGCTTTTTAGGCCCACTACAAGTTAAACTGGTGGCAGGGGATCTGAGCCCAGTTTTTATTTTCCCCGGTTGGTCTTAAAGGGGATCTATCACTCCTGCAAACATCTTGATCTTTCAGGGGGACCTAAGCCAGCAAGTGAAGGCAAGTATGCAAACCTGGGCGGGGCTTCCTCACATCCCTTTTTTTGGACCTCCACAAGTGGCCCTTTTGGTGGAGCCCATTAGTAACTTGCAACTTTTAAGGGTGAATTCCAGTGACCCCTGCACCTCTCTTGGACCGAACCAATGAACTCTGCTTCCAACCTTCGGAAGCCGGAAGGAGCTACGACTCGCCGGCGCATCCTCGAGTCCAGTAGCATTTTTTGTTGCACTCGCCAGCTTGCCTACCGCAACCTGACCTTACACCAGGCCTTGCGTCGACCAGGGTGCTGTGAACGCGCAGCGAGTTCATGCAGTCAAGGAGATGTTCTCTTGTGTGTCCCACTTGCAGGGTTTCTCATTAAATGTCGTGGACCCCGTTTTGCTTGTTGAAGGGAAACTAACGGGACATCAACTATTTCAGGAGACCACTATTTTCTTGGTGGCTCCCAGCCACCCCCTTAGCCTTTCAGCTTTTTAGCGTTTAGTGGTAGTTTCCATGTAACCCACTAAAAGTTTAACTTTTAGCGGGGGATCTTAGGGCAGCCTAGTTTTGAGAACCCCCCCCATTTTCATTCATGTAGAACGCCAGCATTGAGCCGCTGAGGACTGCAAACAAGTGGTGGAAGATGCTCGGCAATTTCAATCCCGGCTCCTGATTCGCTCGGGTGGATGTAAGGCGTCGTGAATGCGTTGTGAATGCACTGCCTGGCTTCCAAAAACATGGAACTTGGCAAGAGGATCCTGGAAGACCTTGTGTCTTTTTGTTGTTTGAGGGCCTCCGGTCATATGTGCGTGTGGTTTGTTAGCATTCTTGTTCTGTGTTATTTCGCGACGTACTTGTGTGTGTGTGTGTGTGTGTGTTCGGGTTTGGTAGTTGTGTGTGCGTGTGGTTTGGTTCAGTGCTTCTTGTTGTAATGTTGTTTGCTTGATCGTTTGGCTCTTTGTTTGGTTGATGTTTGCTTGTTGGGTCTCGTGCTTATTTGTTTGCTTGCTTGCTTGTCTGTCTGTCCGTCCGTCCTGTCCGCCTGTCTGCTTGTTTGCCTGTCCACCAGTCCGTCCGTCTCTATTTGCTTTGGTGCATCTTGCTTGGATGTTAGGACTTTCACTTTTTGCCAACTCATGGTGTTTTTCCATAAGAGTTAAACTTGTAGCGGGGAGCAGAAAGCAACCGAGTATTTGTGTATGTGTGTTTGTGTGTTTGGTTGGCCGGCCGCTCAGTTTTCTTGCTGTTGTTTTGTGCGTGGTGTTGTTTCAGCTTGTGTTTCGGGAGGGCCTCCTCCAATTGAGATGCCCTCCGGGAATTCAGACGGGATTTGCCACTTGCACACTCAGCTGCACGGCAACATGACCATTGGAGCAACAACAGCACCAGAGGCAAAGACGGACCTTTCTGGGGGTTGGTTCCCCATTCTTTTCAGCCATCGTTTTTTTCTCCACAAACCAGCCACAGGGTGTTTGTTGGTTTTCTAGAAAGAAGGATCCCTGGAAAGAATGGGGAAGTTACCCCTAGAACCTGGGGCATTCATTCCTATTGGGCGCCTCCGTCCCCCATACCCCTCCGGTTCGGGTTGACTCGAGGAAACCACTGAGACCTTCACCGACGCGAGCGAGCACTATGACATGCTGGAACAGCTGGGCCGGGGTGCAGTGGCCACAGTAAAGACACCTGACAGAAGACCTGTCCGTCGGACGGCTCTTCAACTGGGGGGGGGTTTGGCAAAGGGGGACCTAGAAGCTCATTGGATGTTTGTTTCCTTTTTGTCCCTTTCGAGAACCCCCCAGCTGTTCTTGAGGCAAAAGATGAGGTTTCGATGGAAGTGAAGCTCATGATGAAGGAGGTGCTTTTGTGGGGAAGGAGTGCTGCACCTTGGGAGTTGCAGGGTTCATGGGGTGAGCAAGAGACCTCTTCCTTGGTATGAGGGCTGACCATCATCCGGGTAGATCGCCACTGCCTTGATCCCTGTGTGCATGTTAGCGGATGTTCGGATTGCCTCTTGGCCATATGGTGCTTCCTCATTCTGTTGAACCATCGTTCTTCTCAAAAACCAGCTGTTTCCCAGGTTTTGGGTGGTTTTTTAGAATTATTCCCGGAAGCATTGCGAAGGGTTCTTCTTCTAAAAGCGGCTGCCAACTTCACCTGCCAACTTCTCATGCCAACTTGTCGAGAGTTACTTCACCTGCCAACTTCTCATGCCAACTTGTCGAGAGTTACTTCACCTGCCAACTTCTCATGCCAACTTGTCGAGAGTTACTTCACCTGCCTACTTCTCATGTCAACTTTTTGAGAGTTACTTCACCTGCCAACTTCTCATGTCAACTTTTCGGCTGTTATCTCATTCTACTAAAAGCACAAGCTAATTTGTCGGGTGTTACTTCACTATCCTAAAAACACAAGCTAACTTTTCTGTTCTACCTTCACTTCTCAACTCTTAATTCTTCTTCTTTTTCTGGCGGGGGTAGGCCCGACAGGAGCTTACGAAACGCACCCCTCTGCGGAGATCGTGCGTGTCGAAGCGCTCTCGCTGTGGCGCCGTGCGAATTTGTCTTGAGCGCGGCGAACCCTCTGCGGAGATCGTGCGTGTCGAAGCGCTCTCGCTGTGGCGCCGTGCGAATTTGTCTTGACCGCGAACCCTCTGCGGGGATCGTGCGTGTCGAAGCGCTCTCGCTGTGGCGCCGTGCGAATTTGTCTTGAGCGCGGCGAACCCTCTGCGGAGATCGTGCGTGTCGAAGCGCTCTCGCTGCGCGTCGAAGCGCTCTCGCTGTGGCGCCGTGCGAATTTGTCTTGAGCCCGATGAACCCTCTGCGGGGATCGTGCGTGTCGAATCGCTCTCGCTGTGGCGCCGTGCGCATCTGTCTTGAGCCCGATGAACCCTCTGCGGAGATCGTGCGTGTCGAAGCGCTCTCGCTGTGGTGCCGTGCGGTTTTCTTGCTCGCGAAACGGCTTTTGGAAGTTGTCTCGTGGTGCGCGCGCCTGCTTTCGCAATCCCGCGGTCCCGGGTTCGATTCCCCCCTGGTCCGCGGCAGCTCCGGCTTGAAAATCGCAGCTTTTAAGTACAAACGTAGTACGCGGAGCGTGCTCCTGCAGCTCCGGCTGGAAAATCGCAACTTTTAAGTACAGACGTAGTATGCGGAGCGTGCTCCCGCAGCTCCGGCTGGAAAATCGCAACTTTTAAGTACAAACGTAGTACGCGGAGCACACTCCCGCAGCTCCGGCTGGAAAATCACAACTTTTAAGTACAAAAAATAGTACGCGAAGTACATTCCCACAGCTCCGGCAGCACTTGCTCAGAGCAACTTGCGCAGAGCAACTTGCGCAGAGCAACTTGCACAGAGCACTTGCACAAAGCACTTGCGGAGAGCAACTTGCACAGACCAACTTGCACAGAGCACATGCGCAAAGCGCTTGCACGGAGCAACTGGCGCAGAGCAACTTGCTCAGAGCACTTGCGCAGAGCAACTTGCATAGAGCGCTTGCGCGCAGCAGCTTGCAGAGAGGAACTTGCGCGCAGCAGCCTGGAACGATGCAGCTTGCGCAGACCACTTTCGTGAGAAATCGCGCGGCGCAGTTCGTGCAAAGCACATTGCGCCGAGCAGACTCGCGCAGAGCCAACTTGCACAGAGCCAGTTGCGCAGAGCCACTCGCGAAAAGTAGCTTGCGTAGACCCAACTTTCACAGAGCCAAGCTGCGCAGAGCCATCTTGCACAGAGCTAAGTTGCGCGAGCGTGCTTTGCAGAAACTGTGGCCGTCGTGTAAGCTTTGCTATTGATTGCTCTTCCTTTTGCTTGTAATTCGTTTCGAGCTTTACGAGCTTTACTCTTCTTGTTTTAACGGATGTAAATATGTGGGATCGAGCACTGCCATGTTTCCTCTCGTAGGACGATGAGATGGAGCTCTCATGTGACCATACGCATTGAGCATCGCCGCGCGCGGACACGCTCGCCGCAGCGATGTAAAAAGGTGTCTCCGCGGCTGGATGAGCACCTGGGGAAAAATGCTTTCGGGCCAATCGTCCTCTAGTTTTTTGGTTTTCTGGAAAGAATGGGGAAGGTACCCCTAGATTTATGCCGCATCAACCAGTGGTGTCCTCTCGTTCGCTCTACTTCGCGGTGTCAACCTGAGGAAGGCGGTGCGAAAGAAGGACGGCCTGGTGGTGGCACTGAAGATCGCAGGCGTGTGAACGCGTTGCGGTTGCCGTGCGGATCCCTGAAGCGGTGCCAGGGTTTTTCCCGGCTGGTGCGATAGGTAGGGAATGACCTTGGGAATGAACACAGGATTTTTTTGAAGAGGAAACCAGAGGGACTGAATTATACGGGGCATTCCCTCATTCCCTGCTGAAAAAACCTGCAAGATAAGCCACTGCAGAAAGGAGTTGCTGGGTCAGTTGTCTCAGCTAGACATGGCAACCCATTTGCCTCGTTTTTTTTATTCTCGGACGACCCTGTGGACAACTTTGGAAGTGCAAGCGCTGAATTTGTGATGTTTGCCAGGGGCTCCGTTGGCCAGCGGAGTGACGGACTGTGCAAACGCGTCGTCATGGTCGACTGGTTCTTGCCCACGGCACTCAAATGCGGGAGTTTTGACTGAGAATCTGTGGGCAAAACATGCTGGAAAACTTTTCGTGGTCAATTAGTTGTGGTCTTTCCGCCCAATCTGCTTCGCTGAATGATGTCTGCGGGCCCGGGATGGAAAGAGCGTTTTTCCCCCCCACCAGACACACCGAGGGACGCGCCTCATAAGTGTTTGTCTCACCCAGGCCTTCCAGGCAAGCCTCTATAGTAGGTAGCCCTGCGGTTTAGCTACCTCTATGTTTTACTTCATGGTTTGCCCTGGTTACCTACTGTATAGTGGCTTGCCTGGAAGCATTGGGTCACTTTCTCAAACTCTCAAGCATCACCGCATCACCAAACGAGGCCTCACCTTGAATTGGCCCAAGGAGTGATGTTTAAACACCGCTTCAGGGGGGAACATAGCGACCTCGCAAACTGACCCTGGACCTTTTCTTGGTCAAGTGAAGTCAATGCCCCCTAATAGGATCAATCAATCGATCCCTCGAGCAGGTTGAACGTTGAACGAGCATTTATCACAAATGGCCCGAAATGTCCAGGTCCACCAAAAGACATTTCGGTGATAAAATGACAAAAAGACCCACCAAAAGAAAATGTCTGTTCCACCAAACCCACAAGCATTTATCAAAAACTTGTTCCACCTTCAACCCACCCAAAAAGCAAACCAAAAAGAACGCCCCGGTGATATGCTCAACAACCTCGAACCCTGGAACCCTCCTAACCCCGAACGCGCCTATCGCCTCCCGAGCCCTTATCAGCAGTTGGGTTGGAAAAAGCCAGATGCTGCAAACAAAAAAGAAGTGTCCAGTTCACCTTAAACCCACCAAAACCAGAAAAGGACAAACAACAAGTACCAGAACCTGAGTTCAGCTTCTTCAAATTCACGAAGTCGGCCGACTTCGCTGTGTTTTTTTCTCGCAGGCTCCAGGGAAAACGGTGCCCTGGTGGAGGCAGAGTTCAAGATGCTGCAGCTCCCTGACGTGGTTTATGTCGGGTGACACAAACTCGTCAAAGTCAGAAACTGGAATCGGTGGTTTCCCTTTAACAGGGCTCCTTAAAAGATACATTTCGCCCATTAGAAACATGGCCTTTTCCAACAAAATAAAGGGACGCCACCATTTACAAAGCACTGTTCATGTGTATAATGTAAGGATCCCGGTTTAACCTGCCACTGAACGGAAGTTCACCTTGATGGTGGAATCATCAGTTCCTGGCCTTGAGTCACTTTTTGGGCTTGGACCGGTTTAGTGGTTATTTATCAAGTTTGCAGGGTCTTTATCTTTTTTGGCGTTGGTACCGCCTTTCTGGGTTGGTTGTTCAAGGAAGACGAAAAGAAGACCCACAAATTGTGCGGGTCACCTTTAAAAAAGGCACACCCAAGTGGAGAAGGGTCGTACAGCGCCGGATCCATCCATTTTACCGGGAGAACAATACAGGGAGAAGCCACGCACCGTGTATTAGACGGAACATGCAGGGAACAGCCATTGGTATGACTTGATGGCAGGTAGGGGCAATGGCAAATGGTTGAGCCTTCTCCTCCAGTTACCCGATCCCAGCGATTCACAGTCGGAACCGTTCGACGTTTGGGGATCCGGTCCTGGTTTGGACCATTGTTCTTCAAAGGGACCGGGTCCCGAACGTGGGTTCCGGCTGTTCAGCGGTGGGAGAAGATAACTCGACTTGGCCAAGCGCAGTGTTTTGTTGCTAAACTTTAAACAGTGGGAGGGTACATGCCTTGATGATTTGACTTGGCCAAGCGCAGCTTTTTTTTTCTTCTTTTTTTTATCGGTGTCTTTTTAGACCACTTACCTCTTAAAAACACAGCTTTTCAACTTCTTGGGTAGCATGGGCTATATGTTTGTAAAAGATTAACTTCCCCAGGGCTTGGAGTTTTAAGGGGTAAGACCACGTCAAGGACCATCAAGCATCCCAGCATCATCCACGCCTTGGACTACTTCAATACCAACGTGAGCGCCATCCTGGCGCGGGCCTGAGACCTGAGACGGCCAATACTCGGTTTGGGGACACTTCCAGGTGTGCCTTTTTTTATTTCCCGCCCCCCCCAAAAAAAACAACCTAATAATACCAAGTGGTCTCTTCCCCCCAAAAAAAGAACAAACGAACGGTAAAAAACAAGTGGTTGCCCTCCGAGCTTCCCCTTTAAGCCCAGCAAAAGGGGGTCCGGACCCCTCAAAAGATTTAGCCAAGTGGGGGTGAGGCATTCGCATTCGCAGCTTGGAACTTAGGTCCTGGAATACTTTGACGGGAGCAGCCTCGAGGCAGCGAACCGTTGGTGTATGGTTTGCTTGCTTGCTGGGAATACCTGGACCACCGATTGATTCGTGGCAGGGGGATATGTTTTTTTTGTTTGTTTGTGTGTTTTGGTTTGGTTTGTTTGTTTTGTTTGTTTGTTTTTTTTTTTTTCTCCTTTTTTTTCTTGTTTTTTTTTTGTTTTGTTTTGTTTTGTTTGTTTGTTTGTTTGTTTTGTTTGTTCGTTTGTTTGTTTGTTTGTTTGTTTTGTTTTTGTTTTTTTTGTTTGTTTGATTTGTTTCAATCAGCTTGGTAACTTCTCCTTTTTTGTAATTCTCTTTGTATTCAACGTTAAAAAGTTTCAAGGACAAGTGATACAACCAATCAACCAACATGTACCATGTTTGACATGGGAGTTGCCAAGTGGCTCCCCCCCAGTCAAGCACCACTGCGAGAAGCCCTAAACTTTTGCCTGACCAGTTGGTGATCCCAGTCGTGGACGAAACAGACTTCCACTTGTTTCTTCCGTGAACACCAGATCGAGCACCCCTGATCTAACACCGACCTTTTACCCTTGCCGCAACCCAGTTGCCCAGTGGTGGCCTTTAATCCACTGGGCATCGGCAAGAACCCCTTATAGTGTTGACAAATCCACTGGGCATCGACAAGAACCCCTTATAGTGTTGACACACCCCTTTGGGAAAAAAAACTAAAAAAACTGCAGGTGGCGGTGTGCAAATCCTCCCGGCGCCGTTTCCCGGAGATCACCAGCCGGGAGCTCTTCCGGTCCCTGCTCTCTGCGGTCTGCGGCTTGGCGCTTGCTTCGTTGTTGTTGGATCGAATGTTTTTGTTTATTGTTTTGGGGTTCTGTTCGTTTTTGCAGGGGGCTGCAAAACCAGTTGGTTGCTACCATACCAAGGGTTTTGAAATTTAAATCGACCCGAAGCGGTATAAAATGCGGGCCGCGGCGTTTCGAGGCGAACAAAAAGGGTAGCACCCCTTGGCAATTTTACGGAAGTCGATCCAGAGCGAAAAGGGTGCCACCCAAAAGGCAAGAGGTTCCTCTAAAATGGACGACTGTTTGGGGTTCATGTGCATTTGCAGGAGAGCAGCCGAATTGAACAACGCACGAAGATTGGACAACAACAATATAGTAAAAGCAACAGCAAAATCACTTATTTTTGAGGATGGCATTATAGAGATGTTGCCATTGCCCATGGGAACTATTGCTTTGTCATGTGCCATTCAAACCAGTTTTTTCACCGGCCATGTGTTTGCAATAAACTAGCAAGCACGCGAGCCTTTCGCTTAAAGTTTCCTTCCAGGGGAACTGACGTAGTTGGGGCATCGCCTTTCGGATGATCATAAGCATCAGCTGAAGTCAGGCATGAGGGACATATCCAGCACCCTTCGGCTGGGACAGACATACGGCGGGAGTCTCTTGGTTGTGGGGGTCTTTGAACTTGACCCCGCCACAGGTCTTTAGAGCGTCATCATTTATACGAAAGCCTTGGTGGAGGAGCCCTTCTAAGAACTTAGTGGACTTTCCTTGTTGGCACAAGAAGTGTTCTTCAAAGTGATCGCTGTTCTCAGGCTACATCAAAAAGCCGACTCCCCACGTTTGAACACCACCCAAGTAGAAGATACTGTTGGAAGTCAGCCGGCCGGCGCCGTTCTCTGTGCTAGACTTCCCAGGCTACCTCCACTCGCGGCGGATCATCCATCGAGATATCAAGCCATCAAACGTGCTGGTCTCGGCAGCCTCGCCGCAAAAGACAGGGCGGGCCTGGTTGGGGACTTAGTTTGCCACGCACACACACACAATTTGTTTTGGAAGTAGAGGCGTCCACGACAAAGTTTGCCATGGGCAGACATTCGGGTTAACACGCTCAATTGCGCCACAATCAAACCCCGGGTAGATAAGGGCAGTAAGGGACGATCCCCTTGCCACAAATCGCTGCGGATATCTGCCTTCGTTCCTGAAGCATGGTTCTGGGTGCACGATTTTGTACCACGTTTTGATTCTGACTCATTTCTTGCAAGAGAAGGGTAGCTGGTGCCTCGGCAACTTGGAGCCGAAAAGTCTCGCAATGAGCCTAAGTGGGGCGCCCATTTTTGGCTTTCAGCGGGCTGCGCCTTTGCAAATGAGGGTCACACGAAGTGGGGGCCCCACCCCACAAAAAGTAAACAAAGCATGGGGGCGGGTGTCAAACTCGCCCTGTGAGATAGATTTTTGGGCAGGCTGAAGCCTATCACAGGTCTTTGTAGGGTCCCTTTTTGTGCATGTTGGAGAAACCGCGCAAAGCCTAGCCCCAACAAGAGCTACCACAAGCCAGGATTTTCAGCCAGCTCAAAACTGTTTTGAGGACTACAGCTACCCAGTGCTTCCAGTTGCCTCTAGAGTTTGTATTCAGGTCTTAAGGACACCATCATGCGAAACCTACAGGTGGGGATCCCTGCAAAGTCTGGTGGGTTAGGTGAGTTTCCCCTTGGCAATGTTTACTCAGAATCTAAGAGCAATTTACAAGGAACCTAAACAAGGGGTTTGCCTTTTCGAGTAGTTAGCCTTTCACTTACCACCATAGTAGGTACCCAGAAGGAAGCCATGATACAAAACCTAGATGTAGCCATCCCCGAGGGTTGCCTAGTACAGTGGCGAAATGCCTGGAAGCGCTGGGTGGGTGACAACCCGCCTTTGGATCGCCTCGGGCCTTTCCCACCGGATCTTTCGCCTGTCGCCGGAAGCTTCCCCGAGGATTGCCTCAGAGATCTTCGGCTTCTTGACTTCAATGTGGCCAAGCGCCTCACCGAGGGAGGCAAGCTGAGAGCGCTCGCCGAACCGCTTGCGGATTGATTGATTGATTTGATTTGATTTGATTTGATTTGGATTGGTATTGATTTGATTTGATTTGATTGATTGATTGATTGATTGATTGATTGATCGATCGATTGATTCATTGATTGATTGATTGAAGGACTCATTTATTGATTTATTTAATTATTTACTTATTTATTGATTTGTTTTGATTTGGTTGGTTGATTGCTTGCTTGCTTGATTGATTGGTTGATTGATTGATTGATTGATTGATTGATTTGATTGATTGATTGATTCATTCATTCATTCATTCATTCATTCATTCATTCATTCATTCATTCATTCATTTGATTGATTGATTGATTGATTGATTGATTGATTGATTGATTGATTGATTGATCGATCGATCGATCGATCGATTGATTCATTGATTCATTGATTGAAGGACTCATTTATTGATTTATTTATTTATTTATTTATTTATTTATTTATTTACTGATTCATTGATTTGTTTTGATTTGGTTGGTTGATTGATTGCTTGCTTGATTTATTGATTGATTGATTGATTGATTGATTGATTGATTGATTGATTGATTGATCGCCCTTCGGCGCATTTTGTTTTTTGTCACCCCCAAATTCGAATTTGATATAGTTCTATATATCAAAGTAGTCTCAATAGTTTGGGATCACTATTTGCGGGTATTTCACAGAGACCCTGCGGAATCATTAGGCCAGGTCAGGCCATTTTGGTGTCTGAGATTCAGGCTGCAGGAACGTCTACCCAAATTCCCCTCCTGTTTTGGCCTGATGTCCAGTTTCGGACTGCGGTGGTTGGGGACTTGAGGTGTTTTGCATAAATGGGTGGCCATTCGACCTACATCAAAACCAACCATCGAAATAGCCAAATGGTGGTGTCCAAAATGGACCCCTCTTTGGGTTGCTTGAAAGGGCGCCAAAAAGGAATCCCACCATAGCGGCTGCCACCATTTGTGGCAAGCGCAGGCGCTTTGACGACCACCGGCACACGGCTCTACTTCGCCCCAGAGGTCATCAACGGTGAACCGGCGCTCGAGGCCAATGATGCCTGGATCTCAGAGGAAAACGAGGGGGTGTTCCTGGCCTACTGTCGAAGGGGCAATAACTCTTGCACTATTTGAGATGGATGAACTCAACTGGGATAAGTTTGGCAATCCACAGTATTAGAGCCCTTGTTGCAGTTGGCTTCTGATCAGAATAGCTGCCAGGAGTCCATTATTTCGCGGGGGTTCTTGACACAAGATCACTTTCAGGTTCTAGTGTGCTATGAAGGTGAGAAGGAAGAGGAACTTGGTCAGTTCAGGCAACACACATCTTTCTGTACCAACCTGAGAAGCCTTCAAGATGTTGCTTCGTAGGGGGCTGTCGCATGTTAAAGGTTCCCCATGTTTCCCTTGGTTCGTTCATTTCTCACTTGGGCCCAGTGCGTTTTGCTCCGGGGGTGGGTGTTCAGCTTAGCAGGGCTCCTTAAAAGATACATTTTGGCCATTTGAAACATGGCATTTTCTAGCCAAATAAAGTTGGGAGACACCATTTACAAGTTGCAATGTTCAGGTGTATAATGTAAAGGTCCCTGCAATTGGTGGAGCCCAATGGGTGGTTTGGTGGTTGGGATGGTTTCCCAAACCCTCATACAAGAGCCAGGGCTTTAGATCCAACTCCAAGCCACCAATCTAAACCACCGGGCTTTTCATGCATCCGGATGTTTGCTTAGGTCTGGGGCTGCGGGCTCTGCGTGTTCTTCATGCTCGCGGGGCGCCTTCCTTGGAAGAATCTCCCGGACGGGGTCTTCGTGGACCACCCCGCGCTCAAGGTCACGGGCACATGGCGCCCTGGACGCATTTGGACGCATCTGGACGCCGGCGGCGACGGCCGAAGACGATCCGTGAGGGGTCGGTGTTCCTTTTGGCTTCCCTTTCATCACTGTTCTTGGCATGTGTGTTGCTTTTTCTTTTTTTGGGGGGGGGGGGTTCTGTTAGCTTTTACTGGTTGGCTGCAAAAACAAAGTTCTTCTGCTACCATACCGAGAGTAGAGAAGCTTTAGAAACAACCAAGAAAGGGGACGCCTGAAAAGAAATAGAACATGCAATATGGGTATGGGTCAACAGTAAACGACCAGGAATCAGGAATCGGGCCACAGGTTTTGGTCCATGTTTCCACTTTCCAGGGCAAGCCATCTTGGCTACCTATTCTTGACCCACAGCCTGTGTTTGCTATATCTGCCAATGTGTTTTCAATTTTGCCCGTGTATGTTGCCAATTTGTTTTCGCATTTTTTGTGATTGCCGTTTCCGGGCTATGTCCTTGCGTGTCCTGCAAGTCCTTTTGTGATGCTTTTGCGAGTCCCGGCTAATTGCAAGACCCTTTGGCCTTCCCAGAGTCATACATAAATGGCGTGGGGCTTGCAAGGCGACAGATGCATCGCCTCGCTAGTTTTCTGCTGCGTATAGAGTGGTCGACGTATAGTTGATGAGCTGCTATGCGCTATTGGATTTCTGAGCTCGGACGCAGCGCAACTGGATATGCTTTACGGCCCAATGGGTGCACATCCGCACACAAGCTGGAACTTGTAACTGAATGGTTTGCAATACACTTATCAACCCGAAGCAGAAATCGGTGTGAATACAGCATTCCAGTTACGAGAGGTCTGTTGAGTTGATCACTGTGAATATACCATGCTGAACACGCAGTGGTCGGGGTGCATCACACGTGCGGCGGGCCCCTGTGTTGGTCTCAGCTTGCTTCTTTTGGCCGAGGTGCTTCTAGTGAACAGGCTCTCGATGAAAGGAAAGCGTCATGGGCTCATCAGACATGGATACTCACAGTGGCAACAAATAATTTCCTTCCCAGTCGAAGTTCACTTGAGGTCCGCCAGCAGGACAAAATTATTGTTATGGTTATCATTATTAGTATTATCTCAGTTGCCCAAAGCCGACCTTTTGACCTTTTGGTTTTCCCGTTTGGTTCATTTTTAGTGGAGGTGCCAAAAGGTTGACCTTGTATTTATGTGTCCTTTGGGCAAGTGAGTTATCATTTGCCCCCCCCCATTGAAGTCAGTAGGCAGGTGGGAAAAGACGATCGTTTTTGCTGTTCCCTGCTTCCCAAGGTGCCGAGATTTGTCAGAGCCTTGCACCGTGGCTGAAGACGTGCAAGTAGCCCCAAATGCGTTTTGCCTGCCTGGTTGGTTGGTTGGTTGCTGGGTTTGTTTGCTGGGTTTGTTTGCTGGGTTTGGTTGGTTGGTTGGTTGGTTGCTTGGTTGCTTGGTTGCTGTTGCTGGCTTGCTTGCTTGCCTGGCTGGCCCGCTTGGTCGGTGGGTCGGTTGGTTTGTTTGCGTGCCGAGGGCCATAGAGAGGGCCGCGAGTGGCTTTCTGCCGAAAGCATCTCGCCTTTTTTTCCCCGCAGTTCTTGGAACCTCCAAAAGTTTTAGGGGTTGATTCCCCATTCTTTTCAGCCATTGTTCTGAAAAAATAAAGGTGCCATTTTTCAGGTTTTTTCTGGTTTTCTAGAAAGAGGGATCCCTGGAAAGAATGGGGAAGTTACCCCTAGAAAAGCGGCGATTGTTTGAAGGAAACCGGCTTGATATCGTAACTTTTGAAGGGACACTCCATCGTCCTCTATGAACATTCTGATTTGTGCATTGGCAGCGGCCGACTTTCTTGCGTGGTACGAGGCGGCTACATGAGCAGTGATCAGGTTGTGCTAATTGTCGTCACTTGGTGTTAGTTCTAAGCTCTCGGGGCTAGGCATATATGTGGTTCACTGCGTATATAAATGCATAATTACTATGTGTATATCACTGTAAGCATATATGCTACGAGCGGTTTGCTCACATGGATTTGGAGAAGGCAGCAGTGTCGCCACATTGGATCAATCTACTGCACCCAGTTTCACACGAAGAGTGCAAACGTTGGGTCTGGCATGTATCATCAACATAGCATTTATGACTGCCCATCCCGAAACCTAAGCGGATTCGGGAGCAGCCGTCCTCATCATGGAACGAAGCTATCTTTGCCAGCTCCTCCACTTCACAATTCTGTCTACTTTCTATTTCTGATATCGATTCAGATGGATGCATCGAGGGAGGGAAACACAACACACGGAGATCCCCAGGAATGATGTCATTTCCGCTCCGTATGATTTTGAAGGAGAGTCTACTCGGTGGCTGCTGTGCTTGATGAACCTTTTGTAGTGGAAAGAATCTAAGGGCGAAAAGCGGAAGTTCCTTTGAGTAGTTGGGTTACCCCCTTTTTTAAGCCCTGCGACTACCACAATCACCCACCACCACCACCACCACCACCACCACCACCACCACCACCACCACCACCACCACCACCACCACCACCACCACCACCACCACCACCACCACCACCACCACCACCACCGTCTCCCCAATTGTCCCCCAAAATATGACCCAACGAAGCTCTTCTACAGCCCACCAAGGTGATGTTTCAAGCCAAGGGGACAAGTTTGGCTACTTGTTGCGCCCATCCACCCAGGAAGCGAGAATCATGCTTGAGCAAACATGCTTGAATCATTTCCGATCAGCCGCTTTTCGGGGCCCCCTCCAGGAAGCGAGAAAATATAGCTCACTTCCTGAGCTCCAGGACTTGAGAGTCAAAATCATTTGGGGTTTAGACCATCCTAGTGGTAAACAACAAGTTCCGTTGCCTTTTTTCGGCCCATCCACTCGTTGGGAAGTGAGAGATTTCGGGACTCGCTCCTGTGGTATTTCGGAGGATCCGCAGCCCCAACAAAAAATGGAATTGGGGGACTGAATTCTGAAATCCATTTCTGGTAACCCATTTTCCCCTGAATTGGGACTAGATAAATGGAATTGGGGGCCCCCCTACAGCAAGGGGAATTCGGAGGCAAGTCGGTGATCCGGCAGTGCCTGGCAGTGGACCCCGCCTGGCGACCGCCGGCCATGACCATCGTGCTCCACGAGCCTCGGAAGTTGGGAAACGTGGACCCAGGAGTAAGACCATTACTTTAGCAAGCATCTTGCTTGGATGCTGGGACGTTAACTTTTGGCCAACTCATGGGAAAAAAAACATTTTTCCGTATTAAACCACTAAAAGTTAGTCACTTTGAGCAGGGGAGCAGAAAGCAACCGAGATTATTAGGGGGTGGGGATCCCTCCAAAAGTGGTGTGAATCCACACTAAAAAGGGACACCCCCCGATCAAAATCAACCAGGGGTTCTACTTGTGAGTTTCGGCCTGAAAGGCCCTTGCATGCGATTGCCCCATCACTTTTGGAGACTTGAAGGCCATGAAGGCAATGCAGGCCTTGAGGCCCTTTTGTGCATGACATCATTGTCAACCGATTGCATTTCGGTCCGAAGGGGCCCTTTGAGCGATTTGACATTTAGCCATTGAGAGGAAAAGCCATGCAGCGCGTGCGACTTTGAGGACTCACTGTGGCGCAAGCAAACAGTGCAGTCAGTTGGTAGCGGAGCCGCAGAGCGGCATATTTACAGCTGCAGCGCGGCGAAGCAGTTTGGTGTGGGACTGTGGAACATAGCAGATGATGGCAGCGCCAGACCTTGCTTTAGGTTCTGCATCGAGCCCACCACCTCCGCCTGACCGGCATGAGCGTCTATTTGATGACCTGCAGGAAAGGCGGACGGAGTCTGCGAGGTCCGGGGATGCGAGCCTTCGTGTGAGCGAAAGCGGAGGGTCGAGATGGATCTGGAAGTGCACGAATTGCGCAGCCACTCAGTTTAGCCGTGAAGGCAACTCTTGGATTTGCGACTTGTGCGGCAATCCGGATTTCCGACCAGAGGAGCTGACGCCCCTTGGCAGCGCGTACGGTGATGATGCTCGCGACTCAGACGCAGGCCACCGTAGTTCCGGACGCAGAGCGTCGGATAGATTGTGGCAGCCACAGCAATTGCCCCCGGGTTTGGGACGTCGAGCAGGCGGTGGACCCCCTGGTTATCCTTTTGATGAAGGATACGAGCGTGCAGAGTCCGAGGCCCCGACCAACGACCCGTGTGTTGACCCCCCTTCAGATGGTTCTGCAGGGCGCAGGAGACACAGGCGAGGCAAGCGTGGCAACTACAATCAGGTTAATGCAGATCCGGATGGTGCAGTTCCTGGCGAAGCCATTGAGACTGCTCACCAGGCGAATTCTGGATCAGATGTTTCACGAAATCAAGTTTTGTTGCAGCAGCTGTTGACAGGGTTGACCGAGGCCTTGACATGCAAGCCTACCTTGAAGGACGCTGACAAGGAAAGGCCCACAGCCTGGAGTGAGGTACCGATCAGGTCAACCGCCCCAACCTCCACCTTGGCGGTACAACACACATGATGTGCGTGCATTTAGCAAGTGGAAGCGCAAGGTTTCTGCATATTTGCCGAAGAATGAGGCGGCGCTTTTGCTGTATACGTCGCTCACCGGAGAGGCCGAAGATGAAATTGAGTACATGGACATGGCCCAGGTTGACAGCAAGGATGGCATCAGCCATATTATGTCTGTTTTGGAGGGCGCACTGCAGCAGAAGACAATTTTCCTGAAGAGACGGTATTTAGATGAGTTTGAGCATTTGCAACGTTATGCCAATGAGACCCTGAGAGCTTTTGCAAACAGGTATCAACGTTGCGAAACTGCACTCCAAAGTGTAGGAATCAGTGTTGGCAGCATGTACGACTCTGAAGCGAGGGGATCGAGGTTGCTTGACCGGGCTCGGGTTTCAAGGGAGCACCAACGCATGATCCTGGTCGCAGCACACCACAGCCTGGATTTCCAGAGCATCAAGGATGCCATGATGCTGATGTTTCCTGATCACCGTGGAGCTCCACAGCTGTATGGACGTGACGGGAACGTTTTGAAAGGCGGTGGCAAAGGCGGCAAAGGTTCTGAGCATCCTGGAGGTAAGGGCGTTCCCACCATTCATCGAGCTCCAGTTCAGGCAATGCAGCCCCACGCGAGCGGAGGGTGTACATCACTGATGAGGCACCCGAGGTGCAGGCAGATGATGAGATTCTTGCATCAGACGCCGGAGCCCGATGATGAAGACGCTGATGAGGCCGGGCTACCGGACATTCCGGAAGGCGATGAAGATGCTGACGAACAAGAAATTGATCCACAAGATGATTTGGATCAGCTTGCGCATGTGCTTACAGTGACGGCGAAGCGATTGCAATCGGCGACGCTGGGACGTAAGTACACTGGATATCAGAAGACGACTGCAAGCAGGAAGAAGAATTCACATTGCGCAGCATGTGGCGGCACAGGTCACTGGTATGCGGATCCTGAGTGTCCCATGGCTGGACAGGCAGACAAGAAGGGCAAGGGCAAGGGCGATGACGTTTCACAGCGCAGCAACGGCAAGGGCAGGTTTGACAAGCGTGGCACTGGCGCGAAAAAGGTGCTGGCGGTTACAAGACATCCTGCTGGAGAAGAAATCAAACACGCTGTAGCAGTGGATGAGCAAACCAAGGAGCCCACCTTCTTCTCCTATATGGCCGTTTCGGGACACGACGTTGTTCACAACATATAGGAGGTGCATGTGACTTCTCTTGCAGATTTCAAGGGCTATGTTGTTTTGGATACAGCTTGCCAACGTTCATGTACAAGCAGCACCTGGGTATCCAACCACACGCAGCTTTTGGGCAAGTGGCGGATGAAGCCTGTGATGGTTGATTCGTCGGATGACTTTCAATTTGGTGCAGGCAAGATGCAACGATCCCACCAACGAGCTTATCTCCCAGCTGGCATCGGACAGCAATGTCTGGCCCTCGGAGCGAGCGTTCTGGAGAACTCGTCGATTCCTTATTTGGGGAGCCTGCGGATGATGGAGAAGTTGGGATGTGTGATTGACATGCCGAACCACAAAATTTGGTTGACTGCTTTTTGTATTTCTGTGCCACTGGTCAATATCAATGGGCATGTTGGAATGAACATTTGTGATTATCCTGAGGAAACGCATGAGAGCTGGAAAGCTCTTTCTGATGAGTCAATTTGGAAAACGCCGGACCCTGAAGTCGTGTTTCTTCCGCAGCACAAGCCGGCTGAAGTGTCGATTGCAGATCTGCCAGATGCCCATTCGTCACGCACCTCCGAGCTGGTTGACAGCATGGCGGCGGATCGTGATGATGGTGCGCAAGGCGGAGATGATGTTGCTTTCAGCCAGCGCAGTGAGGGTCTACGGCC